AAAACTGACAAAGATAACCTCAATAAAGTATATATGTTCGAAATCAGAAGAAAGAGCTCTTTCGATTAGAAAAATGAGATATAGTGTCAAAAATAAAAAAAATGAAATGGCGAGCTATTCGCACTCCACGTGCAAAGATGTTCCATTCTGCAACCTTCTATATACAGGGTGTTAGTGAATAAGTGCGACAAACTTCAGGGGGTAATTCCTTGTGATATTTTAAGAAATAAAGTTCATGTAATCATGTGTCCTAACTTGCTTCGTTTTTGATATACAGGATATTAAATATTCTCATCACATAGAGTATGCGAATTCTCAATGTATTGCTTTATAATATAAATATATATCCATTTTTGTATGTTCATAATTTATCTGAGAATATTCCTTTTCAACAGGATATTAAAGTTGAAAGTATTAATTGTTTCATTTATGACGCCCCTGTATAAGCTTTCATGGTACCAAAATTAAGTACGGTTGGAGATTGAAAAAAAACCCAAAATTTCAAAACGATCTTATTTGAGGTTATTGACTAATCTCAATGAATGTTTCGAGAGCCCCAACATTAAAATTTGGAGTCGAAACGAATTTTTATTGTTTCCTCAATTACTAAGCGAGATGAATTAACCCACTGTGACGCTACTGAAAATATTTTTCCGAATATAATCACATCAAAAGAAGCTACATGTTACAGTCAACAAAACCACCAAGTTTCATTGAAATTGGTAAAAAGACATTTGAGTAATGATAAAAAAAAACGATTTTTCATGGAAATTAATACCCTGTATCTCGAAAATGAAGCAAGTTAGGACACATGTTTGAATAAATTTTATTTTCTAAACTATCACAAGGAATTACCTCCTGAAGTTTGTCGCACTTATTCACTAACACCCTGTATATGGCTTCAGTACCGAAGTATACATTATTTTGAACATTTTGAATTTCGATACGATTCCATTAAATTTCATGTATTGAAGAATGGTATACCAAATTTCGAATAGTTCCGTATACCTATAAATAAGTCTCAACAAAATGGGGAATGTTTTTGCAACTCATTTCAATACCTATTTTTAGTACCTCTGATAAGTTGACAAAGAGAATTATTCTATCCTAAATGAATACGAAATTTTTAAATATTCCGGTTAACTCATTACAAAATGACGATTATTTTCTGAACTTGTTGCATTAATATCCATCTAGAATAACGATCCTCTGTATAAATAGGTGAAGAAAGCGAGTTTTAAATTTTTTTCATCGTTACATGGAAATATACCGAAGCAAAATACCAACAACGTGATGAATGCCTCCATCTATATTATACAAAAACACTTACCATCTTGGAAAAATACAACTTTCACACACTCAAATGAAAATACAATCACTAAGCCGAATATGAATTCCAATTTTCCACTCTTAAATACTTCGAGTTTCATTTTTATTATCACTTGAATCGACCGAACCCGACGAAGTCTAGAACGAGACTGCTGATTCGTTCGCTTCATCATTCCAATTACTAATCAGTTACGTCATCCTTCCAACCGATTAATTCCCGAACAAGTGTGACTAATTCCGATATCGATAGTAGGCGTACGGGGTGGAGTGAAAAGAAATTTAAGGATATTTTCTTCCATTTTCTTATCTATACGAGGTGTTTTTAAAATGAGTTCATATATTCAGCAAATCAATAAAATAATGGCTAACGGATATTCCCATGATATCAGATTTTTGCTCATTCTTCTAATCAACGAGAAATTTCAACTTGAAAATTCAATAAAAATCGCCTTCCGCACGGAAATTTGTACAGGGGTGACGCCAGAATTACTAGAGTGTAAAAGTTTGGGTGGAAAAAGAGTCTCACCCTGGATTTTATTTGATCCCTAAATTTTTTCTATGGGTGCCCTTCAATAGTATTCGTCGAAATCATCTAGCGTTTGAAATATTTGTATTTATTTCAACTTCTTAATGAAGCAGGCCTGCTACTGAAGCATACAGCAGTGAAGACATTACTAGGGTAAAAAACAAAACCGAAAAACTCTGAAAGATAACTGATGGACTGTACCTGAAAAGGTTGTTAGTCAGCTCTGTTGAGCGAACTACATCGTTTATTACACACGTTGGGGGCTTTCAAAAAGGTCCCATGAGGGAGTAGTTGCTGACGTTCAAACGTCCCCCATTTCTACCATTACCAGTACCAGTAGGTTAGATTTTTCAGAAAAAGTACTCTTTTTTTACGCAGGAAGGATATTTTCCTTCTGTATATACAGGGTGATTCATTAAGAATGGAAATCTCTGAATTACAGATAGTAAACACAAAAATATTAAGGTTTTAACCAACATGCCTTATAGAAATGTTCTAGATACAGGCTGTTCAAAGAAAGTTTTCACTTTTTATGTATTGTTTAGCTTTTGGTCAAACATTTACTTTGAAATTGTCTTTCTTCTTGGCGTTGTTCTTGATTGTCATCATTGATCACTGTCTGTTTATCCACTGTCAATTCGCTAACTCAATCGCACGGTATAACATGAAGTTGTAGTCATGTTGTAGCCATGTTGTGGAAAAGCTCTGAGGTAGGAAACAGAGATATCGCGACATACACTGTATGGCGCTGCCATCTATAGTCACACGTACAGACCCCTACGTCTATACGCTACAGACAGATGGCATTACCTGACATACTTGAGTGGAATTTTTCCACTACCTATTCAACTGCTAAATCTCATAACTAAGAGATCTAGGATGAACAGAGCGTAGAGTTGTCACAGTTGTCAGCAGACCGAGAGCGGCTGATGATACCTGGTGGGTCGAAACAGTACTGTCTCGCTCCTGCTGACAATTGTGGCAACTCTGTTCATCCTAGATCTCTTAGTTATGAGATTTAGCACGCTAACTTAATAATTCAAAATTATTAAAATGTTTCAAGGTAACGTAAAAACCGTTAGAGCTAGACATTTTGAAATAGAAAACAATTTTTATGTAAAATTGAACGTGCTTTCAGATTTTCCACTTTTTCTGACATTCAATGGACAGAAAATATATGATGTAATTTAATTTGCCAAATAAACGGAGTGTCAATAGCGCCCTCTGTGAGCAATCACAAAATAATTTTCAAATTCGTATTTGTCATGTCAGAAAACCTGAAACTACAAAATTTCATGATCATGCTGTAAAGAGGTCGTTATGTGTTCCTCTCTCTTCCGCGATTAACCAGGGGGATATTCAATTCTCTCCAGGAGATGATAGCGTCATATAGGCAATGAACTCAATATATTGAGTTCATTGCATATAGGTCGTGGAATTGTCAATCGTTAACTCTCTTTGGCGCTAAAAATCAAATCTCACCTGCGAAATCGTTCATTCAAACGCATTTGAATGTCATTCTGACTGACGGAAATAATGGACTGCACGATTTAACTCAGCTTGGCCTCATTTCAAAAGAGACCACGTGGACCACGGTCCGATCCTTAATCTGATTGGGTCTGAACGAATTGAGACAAATAGACCATTTTACGCAGAATGTGGCAGAAGTTGAAACTAAATTCGGGATTTCAAATTGCATATTATTCTATTGGCAACTGTTACAAAATGTCATGCAGAGAAATTGAAAATGAAATGTCAAATTCAAAAATAAAAATTGATATTTGGTTTTGATTAGTACTTTCATCGAGGAGAAAACCATCAATGGAATATAAAGTATCAGGTTGCTACTGGAAGTAATGTAAGTTCAAATATTCATAATTTTCCCAACGTGATCCAACAGCGCATTCCCTTCTAGAATGAAACCATAAATAACCATATGAGGGAATATTTGAAACGACAAGATGTATCTCTTCGATGCTATACGGAAAAGGATATAGGATGTTTAAGTCGAATGAAGTTTAATAGGTCCTAATATTTTATGGATCATTAGTGAATATATTGTATTAAAAGGTGAACTAGAACCTTGTATGAGAAAAATAAAACAGAGTATGTGTCAGAATTCTTCGACTTTCATGTTCCTCTACAATAAGTTTCATAATATCATCTAAAATAAGCTGGAATGAAGATGCGACATAGATGTTGTTGAATCCATCTTCACTGAATTCAAGATCTCGTGAGGAACCGTCCACACCAGATTCGGAAACATGCCTATAATTGAATATTATTATTTATGAGTTCTGTTTTCGTTTCGTCCTCTGCAATTCGATTGTCTGAAAACAGGATAATCATGACGTGGGAACAGATGTTTACCTGGCTGATGAGAATCTCGAGATTCCAGATTTTGTTCTCCAGGTTAATAATTTGTTGGACCCTTCACAGTTTACAACTATCTAGGCTTTCCTGAACCAGAATCAATACTATATTCTTGATGGTTGCTTGATTTTTTCAATTTTTCTTATCCATTGCGTCCTTATGTGACAATTTTTTGGAAACTCATGAAATATAAGTTTTTGTTTTCTTCAGAAATATTTCCACATCCGTTGATCATACATTCGTATCCGGGCTTCTCATCGAGGCTCTTGATTTGTCAATTTCATAGAGTTTCTGTACGAATTTCATAAAAAGTTTCAAATATGAATTCGAACTGTCATTCTTTCGACATGACAACAATGAACGTGCCAAACTTTGGTATTTTGTTGAATGAGAGAATGGGAAATGGAAAAACACAGAAAAACCAAATAATGATATCCAATATGTCAAAAACAATGCTCAGCGTACAATGGTCTATTGACCATGGTCCAACCTGCCGCTGAACGTTGCCCTGGCTTTCAGAGCGAAGGAGCGAACTAATACCTGTATATCCAAAATATTATCAGGAAATGAAAAAATACTTGGTATCAACCTTAGGTTGAAGGAATGTACTATTGGCTAATTAAATATTTTTCTATCAATAACGTGTTGCAATAGGAGATGCTTTGACACGGTACTTCTCGGATAGTTTTATCTGCTAGAGCTTATAAATCTCCAAAAATGATTACCAACCTAAAAATGGACGTCCACAATTTTCCAACTGATTTCATTATAGGCAAGGGAAGAGTTCAGGATATTGAAGCACAGAAGGCAAGTGGAATGGGCTACTCGAGTTATCCAGAGGCACTACGTTCAATGGAAGGTAAACCCAATATCACATATTTTTTTGCAGTTGAGATTTTCATCTTAATGTTTGTTTAAGAGGAGGCAGTTTCTTCTGAACCTGTATCGGATGTTACCCGAAGACTCGGAATCTCCAATCTGTAGGGATTGGCCGCACGTCAATCAAAAATTAGCGGAATGCAGCAATCTGTTGAGGAAAATCCACCACCGTTGGAGGTGTCACAAGTTTCGAATGAAATTCGATCAGACTGCGAGGAACAGGATGCGGGAAAAAGTGACTGCTAGTTTCATATTCAAGGACAGGAAGTGTTCATATCCTAGAAGGTACCGTCAAAAACAAGCGCCCAGAGTCAGTGTTCTACAGTGTGTTCATCAAGTAACTCTCACATCGCTCAACTTCAGAGGTTATTGTACTGCTTACTTTTTTTATTTGTGTTGTGATTACGCAATATTTATTTCGGGAGCACGACTAAATATCCCGTCCAAAAATATCCTGTCAAAAATATCCTGCCGAAAATAACCTGCACATTAATATATTTAGACAATGATAGCCTGACCAATAAGATTTCCATTCCTCAGACAAATTATTATAATGATTTTATACAGGATATAAATGATGAGGTTATTTTCAGCAGGATATTTTTGACAGGATATTTTTGGACGGGATATTTAGTCGTAGACCATTTATTTCATGCTGGTATAAATTATGGTGGATTCAAAAATGATCCACAAAGACTCCGGCCCACTTTGCGTCCTCACACTGAATAGACCCGGACAATCATGCAGATCCACTTCTATACCTCAGATTCTGTTCGTTGTGAGGTATTTTCGCGACTTTTATAGTTGTAGAAGTAAAGTGAAACAGCGAGGTCTGCCGCATGATCATTGTGCGCCTTTAATAAAACGCATAAAAAATTAAGAAACAATTTTCTAATCAATTTATCGTACCCTTTTACCCACTCGAGGAGACGCTATGCACTCTCATACAAAAATCAAAGACAGAGAAAGATATATGGATCTACTTTTCCCAGGACTTGTGGAGGAAGGAAGATACGAGAATCCTTTATCCAAGAGAAAAACATATTCATGTCCTTGTCTGGCAAAACATATGATTTGCTTCAGAATCGTTTGTGGTTATGTTTGATTGTCACTGCTTGTCTAGTGTCCGAACTCTAATTCACAGAAAACCTCAAAACAGCAGTGTCAAGTAAGTAAGTAAGTAAAGTAAGTAATTTATTCCATTCAGATATATAACGATACATAGTCGACGAATAGTAAAAATATGCAAATAACAAAAAAATAATAATAAATAAATAAATCAAAATTGGTATTTCTGTAGGAGAACAGATTAGGTTGTGGCTACCTAAGCAAGCTTGTACTGTAGCCAGCAGCCAAACTAGTAATCCTAATCCTCTATTAGCATATAATTTCGATAACTATAAGGTATTATTTAAATATAATATATAATAATAAATAGGTAGAGTTTATAGAGTGAAAGAGACAGTGCAAGAGGAAGAGAGAAGGGAGACAAAGAGAGGATAAGTAAGTAAGTAAAAGTAAGTAATTTATTCCATTCAGATATATAACGATACATAGTCGACGAATAGTAAAAATATGCAAATAACAAAAAAATAATAATATATAAATAAATCAAAATTGGTATTTCTGTAGGAGAACAGATTAGGTTGTGGCTACCTAAGCAAGCTTGTACTGTAGCCAGCAGCCAAACTAGTAATCCTAATCCTCTATTAGCATATAATTTCGATAACTATAAGGTATTATTTAAATATAATATATAATAATAAATAGGTAGAGTTTATAGAGTGAAAAAGACAGTACAAGAGGAAGAGAGAAGGGAGACAAAGAGAGGATAAGAGAAACAACGTTTGCTTGTGAGAGCAATGAGAGTAAATATTTTTCATCTGATGCCAAGTAATAACAATTCAAGCATTTCAAATTTGTTATTAACGAATTTTTTCAATTCAATTTTGAATTTGACTAAATTTTTCATATTTTTCAACGAAACGGGCAGAGCATTGTAAAGTTTTGGTCCGATATATGTGATGAATTTTTGGTTATGCGTGAGTCTGCAACGTGGGACATTTATGGTTTGATTTTCACAAATACGAGTGTTATATGCATGCTGAACAATTGTCGTTTGCGAGCTAGCAGTCCATAATAAACATTGGAAAGTATAGAGTTTCCTCACACCGAATAACCCAGTCTCTTCGTATAGCGTTTGAGTACAATACCTCCGATCTTTTTTCATCATGATTCTTATCAATGAGTTTTGGACCCTTTCTAAATTATATAGAGAAGACTTGAAAGTACCCCCCCACACTATTATGCAGTAACGTACATTCAGGAACTCTAGCTAAGGGTAGAGGTCGGTAATGCCGAATATAGTCGAAGTTTATTTTTTTATGTGTTTATGCAAGATGTAATGCGGCATCAGGTTAGTGATTTTTCTGCTTCAGACTGAAGAAAATTTCTAGATAGTTCAACAACTTGCAGATAGATGGACTCGAGCAGATTCCGAGAGTATAGACAAATCAGCTATATTTTCGCTAGCGCCGCCTACGAACCACACAAGAACTAAGGTCAAACTTGGATTCATCATTTCACATGCACAAACATGCTTAGTGTCTACCTCAAGACATGGTAGTTTGGTGCCAAATTGAAATTCTTTAGTTAAGTAAATCAGTTCGTATATTTCAGGTTGCTAAAATGCCAAGAGATCGATGGCTAACATTCTGAACAGTTTATAGGAATTTTATCAATTTGGAAATAGTTTGGGCACTTTTAAAGAGAGAGTCCATTAGATAGATAAACTATATGAACACACTGTATTTGAATTTTGACAATTACTCCGAGTAGCTTTTTTTTCAATTTCAGCGTAACTCATCCATTTCTTGGGGACTATGTCCGTTTGCGACAAAATGTACAGTGGAAGAAAATGTGCTTGGAAAGTAATGACCAATACGTAGTGTTTGCAGATATAATAAATAAAATAACTAGGTCTAGTGGAAAAGTAAGTTGGCCATAATTTTACTGCTGAATGTCATCGATTAGTGAAGTGAAACAAAATGTCGGAAGAAATCTAAAATCTTGTTGACACCTCATTCGAAATCATGACGGTTCTAAAAACAAACGAGATGTTCGCTTGTCTCACTTCATTTGAAACAGATTATTTTTATCAATAAACCTAGGAGAATCAATTGAGAATGTTCAGAATTGTAAAACTGTAAAAAGTTGGCACCATAGATAGAAAATATACAATAATTGGTTCTGCTGGCTTATTGGTAGTACCTTCTACTCTACCAGAAAAATTGAATTTTAGTTTGTCCCGATTCTTCTGGTCATTTCTACGAGATCAATGTTAATATTGGACCAAAGGACGTTGCAAATCAAATATAGAGTGCCTGCTACCGAGATATACAGGATGTCCTTGTCCCCATTTCTGGATGATATTGCAGTCGTCCACGTCAGAGCGGTAAGTCTTATAGAAGATATTTTTAATTTTGCCCACAGCTTCCTTCTCATTATGTGCTTTCAATAGACTAATCAATAGAGGTTCTATCGATATTTTGATGTACACACCTTTTTTTCTAAGTGAAGGAAAAAATCGTAGAAAAAAAAGATTTTTACTCTTGAAGCGAATCACAGATTTGATACATTTCTTCTTGAAGAGCTTATTGAAATTTCTTGAACAAACATTCATTGGGAATCAATGTAATTTCTCGAAATTATGAGATTTTCTTTTTTAACGCTGGAGCGCACGAAGGGAATCCCTATAATGTTCGAAGAATATCGTGCGTACCTAAAGAGGATAGGGACAGGAGGAAGGTATTGGAATATTTTTGAACTTTTGATGGAGATTAGTTGTTGGGAATACTTCCTCAGGCAATAAAATTCCAAAGCTTTGCCGTTCTATAGAAAAACGAGATTTGATAATGTGCTGTTCGACATATTTCAAGGTTGACAACGAAAGGCTTGTCGGTTTCGTCTGACTGGTATTGCTAGTGATGGAATGATAGCAAAGATTGCTGACTCCTGAACCGATTATCATGTTTTTTCTGATTTCTAGGTTCACACTTTAGAAATGCAACTATGCTGTTCATTTCTATTTGAAATTTAGTTCAGATGAATGCCGGGTATAAAAATAATTTCAAAAAATTCAGAATGTCTTATGGAATGTACCGGTAATAACAGCAAACTTCGATGATAGCTGAATTTAGCCTATCTTCTTTTGACATTTTCCTTCTTAATTTACTTCATTATTTTTGTCGTTGAAGGACATGTGCAATTTTATATCTCATCATGTTTTTGTCCTAGATCTCTTAGTTATGAGATCGCATTCTTCGAGTGAGAGAATGTTCTTCCAAGGTCTCTTAGTTATCAGATCCTAGATCTCTTAGTTATGAGATCGCATTCTTTGAGTGAGATAATGTTTTTCCTAGGTCTCTTAGTTATCAGATCCTAGATATCTTAGTTATGATAACGCATTCTTTGAGTTAGAGAATGTTCTTCCTAGGTCTCTTAGTTATCAGATCCTAGATCTCTTAGTTATGAGTTTTTGTTCTTTGAATGTGATATTTTCAATCCTGTTCTAAGTCTCTTAGATATGACTTCCAAATTCTTCGATTGAATACTGTTCATCCTAGGTCTGAGTTTAGGTTATGAAATCCTTCAGTTATGAAATCTTTTTCTTCAGATAAAATGGTATCTGTCCTAGATCTCTTAGTTATGATATCTAATTTTTTGAATAAGATGTTATCTGTCCTAGATCTCTTATTTGTGAGAACTCCCAGTTTTGAGATCTTGATCTTTGATATCTTATTATTTGAATGAGATATTGTTCATTCTATCCTTGGTCTCTTTGTTATGAATTCCAAATCTTTGAATAAAAACTATAAAATCCTAGAACTCTTAGTTATGAGTTCTTATTCTATGAATAGGGTTCTTTATGTACTAGATCTTTAAGTCATGCTTTATCATTCTCTGAATGAGACACTGTCTATCCTAGGTCTCTTTGTTATAACATTTTGTTCTTTGTAACTATCTGTGCCTGATCTCTTAGTCATGGGGGTCTAGTTTTCTGAATATGATACTATGAAATCTTTTTCTCTGATGAGATACTGTTCATTTAAGGTTTCTTAGTGACGAGATCCCAGATCTTTCAATTATGAGATCTATCTTGCATCTCATAGTAAATGTATTTGGTGTTGATAATTCTGCTGGTCAGGTTATGATAGATTAGGTAGTACTGCTAGTGTGCTAGTCGCTTGAATCCTTCTTCCCTTAGTCGTCGCTAGGCAATCCGGAAACGTCGAGCGCCTCGTCTGACCAGACGAGCTGCCTGTTCCAGAGCGATCTCAGCAAGAAGAAGGGAGATTTCGTCTTCCAAACGGGGCACGTCATCGAAATAGTCACCAAGCTGTTCCTGGTCGTGCAGAACGCCACCGGCAAACCGCCCGAAGTCAACGTCACCACCGAGTGAGTACCATGGTCGAATCAGCTAATATACGTAAAATAGAAAGCACTTGAAGACCTCTGTCCATTAAATTATCCAGAACTAGATGGCATATTTTTGAGACGCCTCACATTCTTGAGACACCTCACATTCTTCTAGTCCACAGAAGTCAATCCACTGCATCTCAGCAGTCTGAGCTTTAATGAAACTGAAACATTGACTATAAGTCATATGAAAATCATAAAATCTTCCTACATAGGAAAAGGTATGTTCTTTTCAGTTCCTGAAGAATAATATTCGCGAAGTAGGCAGCAGTACACCATATAGCTAAATCTTGTAATTCTGGTGTCAGTTGTATTGAGCATACCGTTACCATTCTTGCCTATGCTAGCAGTGGAAGTCAAAATTCCAATTTTGAAACAAACATTTTGTTGATAGGTGTCATTCAAGTGTCATAAGATGATGTTCTAAATTTGAATTTTAAAGGATGCAAATATTTTTTATCCTTCACAATGCTGACGTGTTTCTGCGTTTACTACTATCAGCAAAGCCGATCCCTTAATCGTTTAAGCAGATAACGTTCCAGCGCTTTATCATTTTTTATGAAAAAACTATAGTTTTCTTGTTGTAAACGTAGCCGTGACTTTGAACTTCCATTTAAAAGACATGGGTATGATAAAGTCAGAAACACCTCCTAGGGACAATGGAAACCATCTATTGAAGTGAATATGCATAAAGGTTCATGGGTATCGAATAGAGATAAAGCGACGTAAGCGGCGTTGCCACTATACATTATACTTGTGTGTAGCTCCTGTGACAAATTGAGCTCAAAATTCTATTTGAGCGTCATCATGTGTTAAACTATCGAACGCACCTTACCATGGAAATCATTTCGCGCCATAAAAGCATCATTTAGAAATCAGCCTAAGTACATCGTCTCTAATTATGTCAAAAAACGCGTATCTACCGATTATGAATGTGTGCGTGTGCACGTTAGCTCCAGAAGAAACTATAGTGAAAAGGTGGTTAAAATCTGTGTTCCTTTCACGAAACTGACTGAGTAATAGGATAAGTTAATTCTTTATGGTTTCTTCAAGTTGTATATATGTGAAAATGTAGAATATTGTTTTAATCTATATTATTCAAGCTGTGGACATACGCGAGTTTCTTGATATTATGAATCTATTTTTGTGGGGATCGGGAAATGTCCACTGCAGGCCAAACTGTTTTATAGTTCTCCTGAACATTTCACAAATATGGAGTTACGCCTTTTTCTAACTAGGGCGACGCAATGGAATTCGCTATAAGCGTTAGACGATACCTAGACGGAGTGGAGGGCAAGATTTTGCAGTGTTGCTCCGTTGATAATCGTGAACCTCTTGACGTATTCTCTTCAAAGTTGGTTTTTCCAATACTATTCCAATTTTGTTCTCGTTGCTCTTCCAATACAGAAGCCGAATTGAGCCACACGTGACCAGACAACCTCGTTTTTCAGCGATAAAACATTCAAAAGTTCCATTGCGTTGGAAGCCAGACTGATGGATGCAGTGTGCGCAACTTTCGCGAGGCGCTCGTTTCCTGTCTCAATCATTGAATAATCATACGAATTCAACTCGTGATAGGGACTATTTTTCCTGGAAATATCCGTCGATTGACATATTACATCTTGCTGCTTTAATTTCGCTCATGATATTGTTCCAAAATTTCCCGTCTTCGGCTTTAAAGTTTGGATGAACATCGTCATTCGCGAAATTATCAGGCAACAAGCTGTCGTAACAATCGCCGAATATTTCCGGCTAAATAGTATCACTTGTGGTATTGCATATTTTGCCAGGCGTCTATGTATTATCATAAAGAGAGAGAAACTCGAAGTCATTACCACAATAGTTCATAAAATGAACGAAAATGGTAGATAACGAAAGAAAAACAACTATTTTCTTCTAAAGTGAAGAAATATATTTATATGCAAAGGAATGATCAAAGCAGAAAGACTATGAATTTCCTTTTTTTTCACTGTTTTTTTTCCTTCTTGTTCACTATAATATGACTGTTATTTTGAGATATCTTAATGATATGTAAGTAAGTTTTGTTCACTATCAATATGTGATTTCAATTATACAACAGTCGATAATACTTCATGAATGATCTTATACCAGGAATTACTGTCTGATCATTATTGTCATTCCTACTAGAAAATTAATTATACTTTATACAGGGTGTCCGCTAAAAGGAGGTCAATCCATTAACCATATATTCCTTGAACAAAATCAATATGAGTTCCTAAATACCATTTTTCATTTTAGCCCTTCATATTCGATATAGAGGGTGTCAAAGTTGGAAATTAAAAATTGTTTTTTTCTAATTACTCGCGTATTTGATGAGATAATAATCTCAAAATTGGTACATCACTTCAGCACAAAGAGCCACCTCGTGTGAAGAAGACAAAACAAAAATAACTGTCAAATATTCTAAATACTGGGGGTCAAGTACACACTTACCCCCATATTTTTTTTGTACGTGCGCTAATGACTTCCTATCTAGTTTTCTTCAAATGTTCAATCATTTTTGAGCATTTTTTGTCTCATGTAGGATTTCGATAAAATTATTTATTTTTAAGATAATTCGAAAAGTACTGGTTATTGTTTTATGCCTATGCGGCTTACGGTAATCTCATAATGTTCACATACTCCTATTTATTTCGTCGAAATTGGAAGAGGGCCTAACTTTTTACGTACGAAAAGGTAAATATCGAAATACCGGGTGCTCAGAGCAAATGTATTGAAATAATTTTTACAAAAAAAATTGATAGAAATTCAACACGTCAAGATGAGTTGCTCGATATGACCTCCAATTTTTTGAATACACATTAAAGAAAATCTTAGCCTTTGAAAAATATGTTTTTTATACACAAAATCTTTCATACATCCCCAGACAATCCTGATCTGCTATTTCTTTCATCAAGCAGCTATTAAAATCATGTGGATATCATAATTTCACCAAAATTCCGAATTTCCGAAAATATTTTTCATTAATTTTTTTCGATTTTATTTCCCGTTCGTTCGTGCTTGACATACCATACAGGAGGGGGGGGGCTCGAAAATATTTTTAAAAAAATCCGCACCCCCCAAAAACCGCTCAAACCGATTTTAAAAGAATTTTAAAAAATTTGCTGTTCTCGAAGAAAATCAATTTAATAATTTTTCAAAAGGGTGGGCTCGTCAATCGACCCCCCAACCTAAAATTATTACCTACCCGAAATTCCAAAAAACTTTTTTTTTATTTGACCGCGTAAAAAAATTCACGCCGGTCGATTGGCAAAAAAATTTTATTCGACATGTGTCCCCACATTTTTTTTGTGGAAATTATTTTTATACATTCGCTCTGAGCACCCGGTATTTCCATATTTACCTTTTCGTACGTAAAAAGTTACGCCCTCTTCTAATTTCGACGAAATTAATAGGAGTATGTGAACATTATGAGATTACCGTAAGCCGCATAGGCATCAAACAATAACCAGTAATAATCGAGTTATCTTGAAAACAAATAATTTTATCGAAATTTCACAAGACACAGAGAATACTCAAAAATAATTGAACACTTGAAAAAAATAGATAGGAAGTCATTAGCGCACGTACAAAAAAAATGGGGGTAAGTGTGTTCTTGACCCCCAGTATTTTGAATATTTGACAATTATCTTATGTTTTCTTTTCCTCACACGATGTAACTCTTTGTGCTGAAGTAATGTACCAATTTTGATATTGATATCCTATTAAATACGCGAGTTATTAAAAAAAACAGTTTTTAATTTCCAACTTTGACACCCTGTATATCGAATATAAAGGGCTAAAATGGAAAATGGTATTCAGAAACTCATATTGTTTTTATTCAAGGAATATATGGTTAATGAATTGACCTCCTTTTAGCGGACACCCTGTATATTATTTGTATGAAATGTATCAATGAAGAAGAGAATGTAATGCAATAACTGAAATAAATGAATAAATAAATGAATAAATAAAATGAAAATCTCCTGCGTGGCATATAGCCAGGAAAGTAGTTGTTTTTCTCTCGTTATCTACCATTTTCGTTTATTTTATGAACAATTGTGGTAATGACTTTGAGTTTCTCTGTCTTTGTGGCCATTGCATTCCACTTCGAGTAGTTGGCTTTTTCCTAGTTGTCTATTAAACTTGGAACGTTTCCCAGATTCGAGGCGAACTTCGGCTCCCAAACGGTGACGTTCACCTTCCAGTGCGGCCTGCCCGAGGTGCAGCCCGGACAAATCCGGGTGCTGCGCAAAGGCAACAAGATGGAGGTGCTCGTATGACGTATCGCTAAACATATCCTCGTCGTCGCCAGCGTCACTCACACACTGCCACCGTTAGTTGGAGAGAATGAGTACGTGTTCGTTCGATTGCACAATTATGTTTTTCTATTCGGATATACCGGGTGACACAGGGTATCGGGCCACCCCTGTAACTTCTGCTTTCGTCATCGGATTTTTCTGAAATTCGGTACAGTTATATAAGCAATTATTTCGGATTTGATCACAATACAATCCAATATGGCGGACTTCCGGTATTTCTGGAAATGCCAGCAACTTTGTTTTTTCAAATGAAACACCCTGTATATTTTTACATATTCAAGTTCAACAGGTCGAAACAAGTGCAATCTTAATTTCAAATGTCATTTTTTCGAAAAAAATTAAATTAAAATTGTTTTTTCATTTTACCTCGTGGATAAATGAGATGTGGTCAAGACTATTCACAATGAGTCACACATAACAGAAGAACATGATTTTTTCTGAAAAATTATTTTTTGTGTCACTTATCCAGGAATCAATTCAGCCACATCACTTTTTGATCAAAAATTATTTTTTTTCAAATGGAACCCCTATGGGCCACCTACCCGTTTCTCTAGAACATACATTAAGGAACAAAATGAAATATCATTTTTGTTTTTCGGTGCAGTAACAAATTGTATACATTCAAAAATCAACAACTAATTTATGAATTTCCTTGCAGTTAGAATAATATTTCAACTAGGTAGGCTGTGGAATAAATGACATTTGACATCAAGATTGCACTTGTTTTGACCTGTTGAACTTGAATATGTAAAAATATACAGGGTGTTCCATTTGAAAAAACAAAATTGCTGGCATTTCCAGAAAAATCGGAAGTCTGCCATATTGGATTGTAATGTGATCAAATCCGAAATAGTTGCTTATATAACTGTACCGAATTTCAGAAAAATCCGTTGACGAATGCAGAAGTTACAAGGGTGGCCCGATAGCCTGTGTCACCCGGTATTATGCGAAGATGAGTTTTCGTGCGTAGGAGGGAGTCTGTCAGAAATGTATTCCTTCTTCTTTATTTTGCGAGAACTCTGAATATTTTCGGTACATATACTTCTGGAAGCAGACTTTTGCATTGAGTTTTGCTTTGAAATGGATCAACAATCGCCTACTCGGTGGACTCACTTGACCTTCGAAACATGCCAAAAGTTAAGGTATATTCATGCTTGTACGAATTCCGCAAAATTCATGCGAACCGCAAAACATGATATTTCCAACAGAATTCGACGTTCATACTCATGCGACAAAATTTGCAGGAGATAAAGGTTCTGTTGTCATCAATAATTTCTTCATTTCTGGTCCCACCATTGATAGAGGTTCATCAAATTGAAGGCACGTTACACCAAAGTAATTGAGAGATTTATTTGGGTCAGTCGTTTCTATCGAACGAGGCAGTAATGATTTCCATACATTTTTCGGCATTTTAAAATGCTTCGAACACCACAGCTACTTTTTTTGCTTCTGGATACATCATTATAGCTCTATAGAGATGATACAAATAATGATTCATTGAAATTAATTCGTCCAGAGAATTCATCCTGTAGAAATGATCAAATTTATACCTAATTATAATTCTGTCTAGTGTCGTCTTTTTTCGGCCTCTGCTGCACCTTCCCTAATTTTGATGTTATAAAAATAACAAAACATTTTATACATACTATGTAGTTATGATTCCATTCGAATTTGTAAAAAAGTTCGAATATTTGTATTTTGCAATATGTTGTCATTTATATCCATTCATTCCATACAATATCCTGTACACTTCAATATTCAATTCAATTATCTGTTTATATATAATAATAATAATAATTTTACTACTACTAGGATCATTGCCTCAGGGCACACAGTACTTGGTCCCAGTGATTACTCACCTCACAGGCTGTGAGGAGTAGTCACTGGATTTTATTCAGCACGACTCTGCGTGACGTCGGAGGCCGCAGGGTCGTGACTGGAATTACATAAATTCAAATTATAATAATAATAATTTCAACTTCATTGCGATTTTTGCAGGCGCCATTTGATTCGCATAAATTTTGTGGAATTAGTTGCGTTTTCTTTATCTGATTCCGCCACCGGAGTCACTTCGAACTGTGGTTTTATTTGCAACTTTTCCGATTCCGGTTGCTACTTTCCATTCCGCCTCACTACAAGGAATGACGTGGAATGACTGTTGACATTTGCCAAAAAAAAAATGAATTAGATTGACGAAAAACTAATATTTTCATGAGTAGAAGACATTTTGATGGCATTTTTATCGTGTGGTGTACAACTTTATGATTCTCTCAAGTAAGACAGGTTTCATATGCTCATTCCCAGATAAGTTGGATTCTCTCGATCTCCGAGAAATTTCTCCAATGATCACAATCACTGCTACAAATATTCGTTGGTTGATTTTCTAGATTCTCAAGTCTAGTATTATGATTTTGAGATTATTTGGAGCCCCAATATATAAATAGAACCTCTATCATCTATAATATGTCAATTCTCTCATGCAAGGTCGTGAAGATTCTCGTTTTATTTGTAAGCGTCATTCTGTTCCCACCACCGCTACCATAATGGAACAAATAAAATGCAATTTTAGTAGTAGTAGTAGTAGTAGTAGTAGTAGTAGTAGTAGTAGTAGTATATGTACAGGCTGTCCCATTTTAGATGTCCTTACGGGATATCTCACTTATTTTTGAAGATAGAGGTTTGCGGTTTTCGCGAACGTTGGCTCCTTTCTTGTGAAACCTATGTTCGAAATGAGCTGAACTTATTATCACTAGCGCATAGAAGGAACATGTCAGACGTGAAATTCCTTTATAAAGTCATAAGTAATTTAGTTGATTCGCCTGCCCTCCTCAGTGATATTTATCTTACAGCTCCTATTTATATTACTAGAAATCATCACATTTTTCGTTACGAGCAATCTCAAACAAATCATTTCTTGAACTCTCCAATGCATAGATGCAAAATATTATACAACACGCTATCAAATTCTCTCACTCTCTAAATTTTCTTACATTTTGAAAAAACATTTCCTCGCTACACTAACTAGATTTTGATATATGTATGTATGTATCAACACATCAAAATCACTACATTTTGTACCTACTTAATCATTCATTACTTCAATTATCGATTTTTCATGATCTTTGTAATTGATATTCGATTTGTTTAGTATAAATATCTGCATTATGAGATATAATATATCTGTCAATACTGTTTTTGGGTTAGTCTCATTTGTATTCCTTTTCGTAAATAAATAAATAAATGAATAAATAAATAAATAAATAAATGAATAAATTAATAAATAACTAAATTGAAAATATTGCATTTTGGAACCCCCCTGTATCTCAGCTATCTTTCAACTTATAGGACACTTATAAAGTTTTTCACGTGCAATCCAGTGGCGTTGTGAGATTTTCAAAATTAGCTGTTATTATGTAGATATAACTCAGTTATGTTTTTTTTTAATGGAAAAATAATAATCCCGCTTCAAATTTCTGTTGTTTTATGCAAAGTTCATAATATGTATCGTCAATTATTCAGGACAAGAATTTATTTAAAATGATTATTTCGGTACTGAAAAGATGACAAAGTCATAAAACAAAATTTCATCAAACTACTTTTCGTACCAAAGTTTAGTACAATTTTGTCGAAGTTACAGAAATTTCGTAGAAATTAAACAATATCGAAAACCAAAAGTTGCAATAGAACGTTCAAATTTCAAACACAAATGTAAAATCAGAATAGAAACAACTCTTCTTGGTAAACGTTTTTAAGATCCTAACAAATAACCCTTTTTTCAGCGACTAATTTGAAAACATTCAACTTTCGACATGTAGCTTGAGTCACGTGACCCCGAAGTAGGTCCTATTTATCTTTTTAAATCTAAACTCTTGGCTCTTTCCATGAAAAAACATATTGTAAATACTTCGAAAACGATCACATTCGGCGTTCTAAAGGAATTTTACCTTTTTTACTTAGAAAAGGTTTAGGAATAAGGTGTTTTCATAAAAAGTGCCAACAGTTTACTGTCAAAAAAGTAAGGGCAATTTTAAATTAATAATGACAGCGTACAAATAGCCCCCTCAAGGCGCTACATAAAGATTAATACGAAAAAAACGAAAAAAAAAAAAACAATTTCATGTGATTTTCATAAGTGAGCCACAAGTTTCATTTCATTCAACATACGGCATTCTATTTGTTGAATAATTTATGAACCACCAATCATAAATTCTTTCTATCATTAGGTTTCTGACAGGTACCTACCTTATGATATTAGGATAATCCTTATGCATGAAAACTCATTTTATTTTACAGTGTCACTCTTGAATCTATAATAATATATGCTATATAATTTTCTATTCAAGATACCTGAATTTGTAGCTCATAAACGGCTTTTACATTGAAAATGATGACTTATCGATCGGTTATATTACATGTCGAATAGTCATTTCGAATTCTTCAAAATTCGAGTAAGCTGAAAAATTTTACGGGTTGATAAAGCGCGAGAAAAATAAATTTGTTCAAATTTGGTAGGTGAATAGAAATTCAAGAGAAGAAATAACTGTCGCTTATGAAATTTTTCGAAACTTTGAGATATAACCTGTATCTAATTGGTTTGAAGAAATGTAAAATTTGACTGGTATAAGTTGCGTGCAAGATTTGTCAGATGACCGATCCTGGAGGTGAAACATTGAAACACAACCTCACTATTCTTATTTGTTTACAAAGGATTGAAATAGTTTTCAACAATTATTTTGGCATACGAATCCTGTTATTCGGCTATTCATTAATTCAACCATGCCCTCACATTTTGCTGTTGTACAATGCAGAAAAATGCAGCGAAAGACTAAGATATCCGATTCTTCAGGTAGGTAGATTGTGATCAAAAAGTACTATAATCACTCACATATAGATTTCATTTTGAAATTTTGTCATTTCTCATTGGAATTCCCGCTGCAATATGAGCTGATAGAAATACTCGTGAAGTTTCTAAAAGATGGCAAGAAGATTGGATTCATGCAATCAAACGGGAGGACTGGTCTGACATGCTGACGAAATATGATCGTGTATGTTGTAGACATTTTCACTCAATCAACAGTATTAGTTTCTATTGCAGAAGGAATTCTAAGGAGAACATTTCATAATGAAAACTATGTGAGATCACTATTTACCTGAAAATCATATTCCTCCGTCTCTCGCTGCATTTTTTTGCATTGTATAACAGCACAATGAGATGGCATGCTTGAATTAATGAATAGCCCAAAAAACACGATTCGTATGCCAAAATATCGTGGAAATAATTTCGAATAGGTCGCGTGCACGATGACCGACCCTGAAGGCAAAATATTGAAACACAACCTCATTCTTCTGTGAATTATTGAAACACAACCTCACTTTTTTCACTTGGTTACAGAGGAATCAAATGGGATTGAACTAGTTTTTCACAATATGTTGGCATACGAATCGTGCTTTTTGCGCTATTCATTAATTCGAGCATGCCTTCGCATTGTGCTGTTGTACAATGCACCAAAAATGCAGCAATAGACTAAAGAATATGATTTTTCAGGTAAATAGTAATCTCACATAGTTATCATTATGAAATGTTGTAATTCCTCATTGAAATTCCTACTGCCTTCTGCCACTTCTGCAATACAAGCTAATACTGCTAATAGATGAAAATGTCTACAACACACACGATCGTCAGCATGTCAGACCAGTCCCCCCGATTGATTGCATGAATCCAATTTTCTGGCATTATTTTAGAAATTTCAGATGTATTTCTATTAGCTTCTATCGCAGAAAGAATTCCGATGAGAAATCAGAGAAATTACCAAATTTCAAAAATACAAACTATATGTGAGTGACTATAGTAGGTACTTACTTTTGAATCATATTGTACCAACCGGATTACTTCGTCTTCCGCTGCAGTTTTTGTGCATTTCACAACAGCATAATGTGATGGCATGAGCGAATTGATGAATAGCGGAAAAATACGATTCGTATGCCAAAATAATTGTGAAAAACTAGTAAAGTGACGTTTGTGTTTCAATATTTTGCCTCCAGTGTCGGTCATCTGACAGTTCTTGCACGCAACCCATAAGAAAAGTGAGGTTATGTTTCAATGTTTGTCCTCCAGGGTCTGTCATCGTACACGTGTTATAGAAAAAGGGGTAATCTCTTAATGATATGTATGTCTCCTCTTACTCAGGCTATTGTCAGGAATGACCACTTCGATGTATAATTCAATGAACAACTTAATTTACCACTTAACTAGATAACACAATACTTCTTGAACTATTATTACTGAAACAGTTTAGTCCTATCAGAGCAACTATCACACTCGGTTGATGGTTTTGATCTGATGCTTCTGGCTTAGGTCTGCTACTTTTTATTTCAGGCATATTGTACATGATTCATATCTCATTATCAAACATTTCATACTTCCGAGATGATTCAGCACAGTCCGAGACCGTTGTTACAACGCATTTCTCGGCTCTCTGCATCAGTGGTATTTATATACGGAGTGGTCATTTGTACAGGACACAATTATTACTTGATAATGTCTTTCACTTCATAGCAAATCCAATACACGCGACCTATATCCAGGATATTATATCCGATCGATGAAAAAAATCGTCTTCGATATTTTATATTATTTTCGAAACTGTTAATGAACTCCAAACTTGCATAAACTGAAAAATAATCCATATATGACATTGAAGATGACACTGTTACATAGGAAATTTTATTTTCGTTTGTTCGATGGTGTGATTGTGTAAATCTTGTTAGTTGTAAATGGTGTAAATATTAGGACATGTTTGAAACTGAAGTTTCTCTTTTCTCCAGCAATGTTCAAGGGAAGTTGTTTTTTATTTCTGATAGAAACCACCTAATTTTGGTATTGCTTCACAATTTCGAATCTTAGTTTGCTCCAAGTGCCAAAAATTTTGCTCAATAATCTGAAGTGGTTAAAAATATCAACTTGAATATGATAACAAAATAGCTGTTTCACATTAATTTTCGAACCAAAATCACCGTATAGATGAAAATTTTAAAATTATGAAGAAGCGACAAAAACTGATGTTCCTAATGATCTAGCTAAGTTATCTTAATCTTGAAATAAAAAAAAATCACTTAGATCTATTCAAGGTTATAACTATTCTGAAATAAAAGAACATTTCGCTAACTTCAAAATATTGTGGAGCAGTTCAGAACAAATTATCAAGATCCTTAATTTAATAATCATTATTTTCAGATGGTGAATCAATACCTACCCAATATTCAAAATGAGTTATCTATCGATTTAACGAAAATAATACCTGTACTATCTCTTGTTTTTTCAATATTTTACAGTGGTTTGTATTATTTTCAGAGTCAAGTGATAAAAATTAGGTAATCGTTCGAAAGTTCAAATCTATAAAGTGCAATGAGTACAATAAAATTTGAAGAAATCGGACTATATTGAGTTAGAGCTGTGAAATTATTTTGAAAAGTTGCTATTTTGATTTGATATAATTTTTTAGTCTGTTTCTGAAATTTTGATAACTCTGTATTTATGATTATCATTGAGATTTATGTTTCTGAAACAGCTACAGATTTTTTGAAGTTTCATATCGCTATTGAGGGCGAATGCTTTCATCTCTAATCTCTTATATTTTGACCGTCTTGTAACTTGCATTCATGATTATGAAGTCTGCAAGTGACAAACGACTGATAGCTACCGATATCAATGTCATTCATGTTCCTCATTAAGATACCATTTGCTTAATTCATCATCAATTGTTCACCTGTAATCGGCTCATTCAATGGTTAGGAATCCGGCACCATCACAAATTTAGAGGTTAATTTATCGATGATTTGTCAACTCGTTGAAAAGTATTCGGCTAATCATTATTAACAACCTACTAAATCACGCGTCTAGGGAGAGAGAGAAATTGAAACTACTGTAAGAGTGAGACGCAACAAGTAAAGATCATGTGATTGCCCACAATAATGCGATTGTCATTTAAAATTGTTGCCTAGAAGAAAATACGGAGGGATTTAGTCACATCAATGGTCCTTTGAAGGGAGACAAAAAATCTTGAGTTAAAATTTAATATTTTTCCCATGTATTATTTTTTTGTGACAGGAAAAAGGACGAATCAATATTGAGAAGATATCACATTATAATAAAATCAGAAAAATATCAATGTGCTGTCATTTGTCAACTGGATTCAAATGATTTTGTTGTTTTATATATTAGTTGAAATAAAAACTCGGTTAGTCATTCTCCAGATCACAAATGGACATTGAACAATGGTATGATAGTTTATCAAGTGACCACAAAATCTACTATTGCTGAATATTTGATAATTATTATTATTCTTTTTGGTCTACAGTCTATACTTACCTCACAGATCGCTGACGTCATACCTGCTGAAGTGATACTCAAATGTGGATTTGAAACTTCAAAATGTGCATTAATTTCAACTGCTCATATCCTAGGTTCATTTAGTTCTACATGAAGCGGAACCAAAATGAAGTTGGCGATGTTTCTTCCTTTATTAGTTGACTGCTTCATGGCCAACTTCAAGTACACATTTTGAAGAACACTTTCATTTGATTCAATTTCAATCATGCTTTTTTTTATTACAATGCATCATGAAATATAACTTGTTACATGTTAAGTATAAGTAGTTGGAATTAGATTTTGAAGAGTCAATTAAACTTGAGTAAGTAGTTTCGTTGTTGGTTGTTTGTCAAAGTTTGAGTTGCTCTGTATAAATTCTCTAGCAATATGTTAATAAATAAGTTATATTTTTAATGACGGTTTTATTACCCACTCATTCATTGTAACGAAAGTTCATAATCAGTGATCATCATTATTTGGTTCTTCATTTTCAGCAGTTCCATTCAGCACAAGCGGAGCCTGATTAGTCTCTAGATTTTCGTCGTTTTGTGATTGGTCAACTTCTCCATTCTGATCAGGTGTGGGATTGGTGGGACTATCTTCAGTTCTCAGTTGATCAACCACATCTCTAGCTAGTTCCCTTTCGCTGTATCTTTCTCGCAAAGCAGTAAAAAGACACAACTGTGCCTCATACTCTCTCCTTAGTTCCCCGTTGTGCCTGATCATGGTCTCCAATTTTTTGTGCAACAATTCTTGACGCTCTTTCTCTGCTTTCATTTTTCCCTCCATACAGTTAATTTTGTTCTCGAGCTGTTTCACTTCCAAATTCCTGATTTCTAGGAGATCCTTGGTGATTCTGACTACGTCTTTCATGGATTCGATCTGCTGGGCGTAAGCTTCAATTTGCAGTTCCTGGTTCTTGATGACTTTGGTTCTTTCGAAGATCATGCTTTTGGCCTTCATCAAGGTTTGTTCGGATTCGGTCTTGAGGGTGTTAACTTCTTCAACTTCTTTGGCTCTCAGTTGTTTTTGGTTGGGCGCTTTGGTCGCTTCTTCTTCCAGTCTAGCGATGCGCTCTTTGTAGCTACATATTTCGACATCTTTTTTCTGAAATGCACGATTCATTTTACAGAATTGTCTCTGGATGAGAAAAGGAATATTGAAAGAAGTAGTTGGCAAAAAGTTATGATATATACCGGGTGAACCAAATATGCCTCGAAAAATATTGCTGTGGAAAAAGATACAGGGCGTTACAATCCAGAAAGTATTGACTATAACAAAATTCATTCACTGACTAGAAATCTAATTTACCAGGAGCAATTATCTGACAGTCCAAATAAGCACACTCTCCATACATGTAATAATATTTGAAATCCCCTTCCGAGACTTAATTTGAACAGTTCAATTGCGTTTAAATGGATGAGAATATCTTCTTCAAACAGGAGGACCAATATTAACGTAAAAATGATATTAATGTCATATTTTCTAATCAAATTTACTGAAAATTTTCGTCAAATGAAGTAGTTATACCAGTCCATTTTATCATCAGGAATCAATCACGTGGTGCCCCTGTGGAAATAAACTGATGTAGAATACATAAAATAATATTCCTTGTAATAAATATTATGCTTAATAGGAGTACCAATATCACGTAGAAATGATTCTTATGTCATATTTCCTAATCAAAATTGCTAAAAAGTTTCGTCAAAAAAGTTATACCAGTCCATTTCATCATCAGGAATCATTCACGTTGCGCCCCTGTGAAAAACTGTAGAATACATAAAATAATATTCCCTGTATAAAATTATGCCTCTGTGCCGATTTTGAATACAATTGATAAATAATACAGTTGCATTATTAGCAAAAAACGAAAAAAAATCAACTTTAACGCCCTCTTTCTTCGTTCACAGCAATATTTGATCAAAGATTATTTAGTCTTATCGCCATATTTTGGTCCAAACGATCCGCCCTTAGCCTATGTTCCAATCGTTATGACTCACCCTGTATAGAAGAAGATTGGAATTTCAGTGAGTACAAAGCGTCTTCTTTTTTTATGATGACATAAATTGTGAGGACCAAAAGTCCGTCTTCGTAACTGATTTATTTCACATTTTACATTACAACATTTTTGAAGCCTTAACAATTAAATTAGGAAGGGAGAATGAATTACATTTGTGTTCCATTTGTTACGTTCTTATTCTCACTGAAGTGGTGCAAAAATAGTGGAAATAATAAAATTACGAGTGTCCCTAATCCCAAAACTATTATTTTCTGTGACATGAATTTATCGTATACTTTAAAAATGCAATGATGGAGAGTGTCCTATTTAAAAACTTTTAAGTCCCTTCAATATTTTGAAACACTGAATGAAATTAAACCATTAAAGAGATCGAATGAAACCCTACAAATTATATATATTATATGTAAAATAAATAAGTTACAAGGGGGGCAACGGACTTCTGGTCCACACTGTACAGGGTGGCTGGAATTCGAGCCTCATCATTGGGATCTTGTAAACCGTACGTAGGTACAATATGATTAGATTAACATGTTGTTATATGCTTGCTGAGATGTTTTTATAATAATATATATATATATTGTGATTCAATTGCATTTATATTATACAAAGATATTATGTTTCTTTTTTGTTATTATTGTTAATATTTCCTGTCTTTCATTCTTTATTTTGACTGTATGTATTGTATTTACACCCATCTATTTTATATTCAATATTATATGACCAAATTTATATTTATATTTTATAACTTACTTTGTCAATAAGAATCTTCTTGGACAATAAAGTATATATCTATCTATCTATGCCGTTTTGAAACTCGGAAAGTTCCGAATACTTTTGGAGATAATGTACGAAAAAAAAAACAATATTTCCTTTTATATTTTTTCTTCAAGATATTTGAAGAAGTTAATCGAAATAAATGACAAGGTTTGCGAGATCCCAATAATGATGGGGCTGGAATTCCATCAGTCACCCTGTATAGCAAGTTGTTAAATGAAAAGTTAGTTGAATGATTCATTTTTATTTTCAAATGGTCTGTGATCAGAATTACATCACAATGAATATTATAAATCTATGTTAGGCATTATAAATTTTATTTTGAAAACTATATATGATATTCTATTTTGCTCTCTTGAATGTTTTCAATTCCAAATAAGTAAAATAATATTTACCTTCAACAAATTTTCGTAGTCAGTCAGTTTCTTCAATAGCTGTTCGTTAGATTGATTGGATACCTGAAATAATGCCATTATTTTCAAATCCTACTTCACCTCCTTGTCATTACTAATCTAGGAAGTTAAAGGAAATTCACCTGTTTTTCCGCCATTTTATTAATGAGGAGAAAATGGATGTGATGATGAAGTATAAAGAACAAGTAAACTAGAGATAGTTCGAAAGGAAAGGCATTTATTTTTAGATTCAATATAGGTGTCTCATGTGTAATTTATTTTTAGATCTACGAATTTTCTAAATTTATCATTTAAATTCTTAATTCTTCTCTACAGCCACTCTTGCGATTTAACAATGAATACCTACCTTTATCTACTCTATCTAGCAGATTTCAGCTCATAGGTATTATATTTGCAACATTATAATTTCATAATATAAGATAATTTTTCATTGCAGAAATTTGATGTATAAAAGTCTGTTGCATATATACACAAATTTATTCCGTTCGTAGATATATAAGTAGGTATTTTGTATTTTTTTATCTCTTGGAGCGCACGAAAGGGAATCCCTATAGGGTTCGGATAGCATCCTGTATACCTAGAGGGATGGTATAGGGAGAGAATGAGGTATACCTATTGGATTTTTTTGAACTCTTGGATAATTTATTAGTTCTTGGGAATACTTCCTAAGCCAAAGAATTCCAAAGCTTTGTCGTTCTGTAGACAAATGAGTTTTGGTAAAGAGTTGTTCGATTTTCTCCAAAAAGTAATGAAATATTTAGTAGACAAAAGATACGTCGGTGGTATAGTCTGTTCGTTTGGAAGGCGAAGTAATGGAATGTGGCAATGAAATGTTGTCGCAAATTTTCAAAGAGAAATCTTCCAGAGTAACCACTAGAGCGGCGTTGATATTTCATGAATTATACGTATAACCTTTTTCTGGGTAGAGTCGATTTTGCCGCTTTAATACAACAAAGTACGGACTACGAGGAGCTCCGAATTTCCGACAAACGCGCGGCTGGGGCAGGCCTTTCGCCGACAAACGCGCCGCTTCGCCGGCCTAATTAAGTCAAAGGAAATAATAGGCACTCCGAGTTTTCATGGGCGTAGGGCAGATAACATAGCATGGGATCAACGTTAGTTGTGGAGATTGGTATTTTTAATGCCTTTTTCATTGACTTGTGATTCGTGACACATGTTAGTACGCTTTCCGACCTGCCTTGTGTTGAGCAAGATGAACACGTTTTTATAATATTTCGAGTTATCGCTGATGTGTGCCTGACAGTTCTCAAAGCTGGTTTCCGCCTTGATATTGTTGAGGCTTGGGGATAAAATGAAAACTATCACCATTTTCAATTTCATTAGGTAATATCTATAGCAACTTGTTATCATTCTCATGTGGGTATATTATCATTAATCCATGTGTTTCATGTACTCATTTACTTTACTTCCAAGTAATTATAGGACTATAATCATTAGATGTATGGTTGATGATAGTCATATATATTTCCGAAACATGTAGCCCTGTTGATTGATCTGCTACTCACATAGGAGGTAATTATTTAGTATAGTTTTGATTTCACTCCACTTTGATAAACCAGAGACTTCTACCAAAGATACTGAAATAAGCAAAAAAATTAAAATAGTCGGTCACCCACACACCATAATTATCATCTTATTGAGAAAGGGCCATTACGTACCAAATAGTTAGTAAATTAAATAAGGCCCCAAAAGAACTGTTTCTTTTCCTTTGAAGTCTGATTTTGTTTTTCCATTATTTTGACTGCATTGGAAGGTATAATCATATAATGATGTTGTACACTCTAGTCGACTTTTCGTCACATACCTATTTATTTTATATCGATAGTTCCCTGTATTGATAGTATTTCATAAGGACTTTCATTATATTCACAATAATCACATATAGGTACTTGTTTTTCAAAACGACGAAAACCATTTGTATCAAATTCATCAGGCTTTATTTCCCTCATTTCAATAATTATGCTTTTACGGAGCCTAAATATTTCTATTAGTTTTATTTCCTCTCAATATTTTCTATACCGTTGTGTTACTCACGCCTGTCATATTGGAATATACAGAGAAGTGCACAAAAAACGGCCACTGCTGTATCTTCTGATTGATTCTAGATCGGATTTCTAGAATTGGTGGGCAGCAAGTATACCAAATTGCTCATCCACTGACAAAACAATAATATCTGCATGGTCCATTATTTTCTGTTCCACTAGAAACGACCGCAACTTTTGATTTCTAGATGGGACACCCTGCATTTCATTCCATGAATTGTTAGGGCTTATCATAACGGATTCGAGGATACCGCGTTCGATGGGGTTATTTCAAACGATTACGAAGGCTCTATGAGTGTGACATAGAAATGAGTTTTGATGGTGCTAAGTCACACCAATTGACATATGGAAATTTCGAACGCAAATATCTTCGTGATCATCTGAAATAACCCTATCGAACCTGGTATCGTTGATTTCGTCATAATAATCCCTTACCGATTATGGGATACAATACGGTGTCCCATTTGAATATCGAAAGTTGGGGTCATTTCCGTTGAAATCGGAAGTGATAGAATAGAAATAGTTTTGTTAATGAATGAGCAATTTGGTATACTTGCTATCCACATTTTCGAAATCTGATCTAGAATGATTAGGAAGATACAGCACTGGCCGTTTATTGTGCACTTCTCTGTATAATGTTAAAATTATTCACTAATACCTTCACGTTACGTTATCTTTTCGCATACGATTATACAGTTAGGACGATTGTTTTCTAACAATCAAGGCAGGACATCTCTGGTGTTTCAACAACACCGAAACAACCATGAATTGGTTCCATAGTTGACAGCAATCTTATTCCAAAGACACTTCGAATATGCAACTGAAAATGATATGATATGAGCGAGCTGAATTCATCGCTCTGAATTACAAATGTTTTCCGATTTATCGTTGGTCAAGCCCAAAAGCAGAAATCAATGGTACGCCCATGGTTGGTTTGGCACATTCCATTACTTCGCCTTCCAAACGAACAGACTATAGTTGTATTCACGGCCATGATTGCCGTTTTCGGTACGATTGTACTTTTCTAGTACATTGATAATTTCTAGTACAAAAACAGAATAAGCAATTATTTGGAGACCACAAAATATATGTTATTATTGGAAATCTAATTAAGCCCTCATTGATTGAAGTCCATATTAATTTCCAATTCAACAGAATCAGTCGGAAGAAAATCCATGAAAATGTGCATACCTACTCATATATCAGAATACGCTCTTCATTTAAAATATTTTCGACAATGCAGTGCTGCCGCTTCTACTAGAAAGTAATAGCAGCAACATTGATATTTCAAATGGAACACACTATGTATTTTATCGAATTTTCAGATTCTGTTTGAAGAGCTAATATTTCATCGATGCATCACACTTGGGGTCTATCAAAAATGATTACAGAGATATAGGGTGTTCAAAATCGAGATTTTTTAACTTTATCTCAACTTTTGCTTCACTATTCACTGATGTTCAATCAGAATTAACAGATACACTGGCGGTGGTTCAAGATTCAGAATTCTGATCACCACCCCATTAATGTATAGTATATGTTCATAGAAAAAATAATTGAATAGACACTGAAATAAAGAAGTTATTTTACTATGCAAACCCTTTCGTTTTTTCATGATATGAGTATTTCCATGATCATGACATATTATTCAAGATTGTTGAAGCCATATATTTTTATTTCAATTCATTTTATTTCTTTGAATTACGTTCAGCAGGCTCAAAAGCAAAATATTGGTTGTTGCATAATTATAAAGTGTCAGTTTGACAGTCGAAATAATCCGAAAAATTTTTCAAATATCAGTTGGGAATGGATCTGAGAACAATACGTTTGAACTGATAGCAAATAAGAAATCCTGGATTTTGTAATAATTTTATAGCTATTTACTATTTATTGAGACTGGCAACTGACGCGCCCGACTGACGTAGATTTAGGCACGTCGTCTTTTTTACTGACGTTGACAATGACACTTATCTGATGACACTGACAGACCAGACGTCAAAATAGAATAATTTGTAGTAGAAATAGTAGAATCCACTTCCAGCAATATGGACTTGAAATGGTGTTGAAATTATTTTCCTGTTTATATTTTTACCTTTATCGAGATTGTTGATCTTAGATTACAATACAGTTGTCATCTCAAACGTTTGTGCTATACTTTATTTAAATTGGTGGTTCCTGTAGATATATTTTCGACAATATATTCCTACAACGAAAACACAAAACAGCTTCAGGTAAGATATCCGAGGACATTCTTTTGTAATATTATATTGGTGTCAAATAAAAGTTCTTCACTCAAAATGGGTATAATTAGGCGTACAGTAAACTTATAGATAAAAATAGAATTCCAAGTTTTTGTGAGCTCTAGAGTTAGCAAATAATGATGAAAAAAACTGGTGAACTGTCAAATGATCCAGGTTTTTGTTTTGAAAAAATATAGTGGAATCTATAATTATATTACTGTGTGTACACAAATTAAATTCCTCATGATTGTGAAGTTGTTCAGTTCCTAGTGAATAAATGGAACCCACCTAGAAAGCATAATCTATCTAAGTTACAAATACCTATTAAACATAGTAATGATTCCTGCTACCTGAGAATCTACAGTTCATAAAAATCTTTACATTCTTTTTCTAAAAATAATAGATTATAATTAAACACAGAGGTAAACACAACCATTCGAAAGAGAGGATAAGAACATATATTTGTTCAGTTGAGGAAATTGCAGTTGTTAGTCCCTTCACATTTCTAATAGCCTCTCAGGCTACCATGGAGGACATTCCTTATAGTGATATTACCACAGATATTACTGTCCAGTCACCTTGGTGAGAAAGTCTTCTTTGTGTAGGTAGGTAGTTGGGTACCTACTTTATTAATCATTCCTTTAAAATTCCATGATTTAAGTATATTTAGAATATACTTTTCAAAGGACAGTTTTGATATATAGGGTGATTCAAACCGGTGTAAATATTTTAAGGACATATTGTTGGGATCAAAATAAGACTTTTTCTTCATATAAACATGTGTCCTCAAAACTGGGTTTGCATAATTTTTGAAGAAGAAATTAAATGAAGTGTCTAAATGGACTGGGGCATGCCAATTTTCATAAGATTTGATCTGTTATTTCAGTCACAATTTCAGAATATATTTTTTCTTCACCTAACTTACATTGGCTGTTGGTAGCTTGGAGGGGGTTGATTTCAGGACCCATATATATTATGTTTATATGAAGAAAAAGTCTTATTTTGATCCCAACAATATGTCCTTCAAATATTTACATCTAATTTTGATTCACCCTGTGTCTACCCTTACTCAATATCTGTGATAATAATTAGGCAAATTGTAAAGATCTACTAAATAAAATTCATTAAATAGTTTTCATAAAAAAAAATGCAGTGGTGACAAACAATAATTGAACATTTTTTCATTCTTAATAATGTGGATGATTCATGTGGGTCATTGAAGATAAATTTAATGACAGTATAGGTAAACTCTTATAATTTTTCCACCTTGAATCATAACATAGTTTTAATGGAGGTTTCATTTTATGCAAGCTGTCACCAGAATTTGTTCCACTTTCCTAGACTTTCCTGGATATTGTCATATTTTCACAAAGAAGGGTAAATAATTACATAACCTTGATTAAGTAGATTAGTGTTTGGAAGCTGAACAATAGTAGATAGTACCTGTTTTTTTTTCAAAACCATCAACATTCTAGGATATCCTGTGTGTAGATATAGTACCTATTAGGGATCGACCGATATCGGTATCGGTTCAGTAATAATAAAATAAAATATAATAGTCTTTGAAATGGTGTAACTTTTTACCTGAAAGAAAAAAAACACAAAAACAAACCCCCAAAAAATATATTTTGTTTGAAATATTACATATATACTCAAAAATATTAAAAAAGAAACATAAATTCTAAGAAAGAAACCAAATATTGGACACAAAATATTTAAAAACAAACATGAAATTCTAAAAAAATACCAAAACTCATTTTTAATACTGAAAAATTAACAGTAATTCTAAAAAAAAATACCTACAAAACGAATATTAATATTTAAAATTAAGTTTCGGTAAATTATAATGTAATAAAATTAAATTTTCAGCTCTTTCAGGCGTTAGTCGATTTCTAGCGCCCTCGTAAACGTTTCCAGCTGAAGAAAATAGCTGTTCGCTCGCTATACACTACTGGGTGGTGGTGCTAAATATATAATTGCACATTTATACAGTAGTGAAAAGTTATTTTTCTCTTTTTCCCACCACATCAAAGGATCTTCATTTTTTTAAATATTTGTTAATTTTATATACATTTTATATTCTTCTTCAATATCGGCTTTTTTAGTAATTTAAAATTTACGCATAGAGTGTTCCCTTTGGTTTTCCATCATTTTAAATATATTTTTCAAGGGAAAAACAATACTTGAAATTTTTGGCCGATATATCGGTATCGGCCTCAAAAAATCATATCGGTCGATCCCTAGTACCTATGTGAATCTATGCTATGTGTCTAGCCTTCACAATTATAGTTGCGTAATGCAAGAATAATTTTCGTCCTTGTAAATATTCTGTAAGCAATAGGTAACAACTTTCCTTTTTATTTTAATGAGATCGATTTCAGTTTCTAGTCAATTTCTATTGAAATTAATTATTCAACTAGTCAGATCTGTTGTTTTTAGTTGATTTCCTTCACATTATTAAACCAATAAGTCCTCAAATAAGTCATTCATATGAAATATATTATGGTAATGTAAAAATATCCACATTCAGCTCAATTAATCATTGATTTATACATAATATATCAAATATTTCATGTATGAACAAATTGCATGAACTTGACACACTATAGTGATTTCATGATTATATCAGTGTCATCCTTTTTTGGGACAAAATTGAGTACACTCTTATAATACTTGTATGAACATTGTAAATTCTTCATATCATTCAGAAACAAAAAAATACTCAAGAATGATTGAACACTTGAAGAAAAATAGATAGGAAGTCATTAGCGCACGTACAAAAAAAATATGGGGGTAAGTGTGTACTTGACCCCCAGGAATTTGAATATTTGACAGTTATTTTCTGTTTTAACTCTTTGTGCTGAAGTAATGTACCAATTTTGAGAATAATATCTTATTAAATACGCGAGTAATTAGGAAAAAACAGTTTTCAATTTCCAACTTTGACACCCTGTATATCGAATATGAAGGGCTAAAATGAAAAATGGTATTTTATATTATTTTTGGTAATTTTGCACTTATCATGCGATGGGTTTTTTTTCGAAATTTTTTTTTGGTTCTTACGAATTTTTGTCTGAAAAACACGAATTTAATAATGAAAATGTGAACAAACCATAATTTATCAAGATATTTCACTATAAAGTTACAAATTTCACCTTCTTTTCCGCCTGTCTTCTCGATCGCATTTAGAACAATTTGCCCTTCTTTTCCATCATTGGACAAATTATATATATCACACAATGTTGGACACATTTTTTTTTATTATATGAGTGAATAGAAATATGATTTTCTTGTGATTTATCCATGTTTAGTGAAAAGAGAGGAAGAATATCATTTTTTGAGATAATGGCGTGTGTAATGTCATTCCAAAGCAATCGATTGACATTTGACATCTGGTATTTGGATTGCCTATATGGATTAAATGGCCGTCATCTGGTATGCTTGCTCACTAAATAGGAAAAACTCGCCATAAAAATCATATTTCCTGTTGAATTTTCTGTCTTAAAATGTGTCATTGAAGTACATCAAGAAAGTACCTGTAAATACATCCAACACAAGGGGGAAAAGAAGGCAAAATTTCGAACTTTTTCTTGAAATATTTGGACAAATAGTGGTTTGTTCACATTTTCATTATCAAATTCGTGTTTTTCAGACAATAATACGTAAGTACCAAAACAAATTTTCGAAAAAAAAACATCGCATGATAAGTGCAAAATTACCTTATTTTTGTTCAAGGAATATATGGTTAATGGATTGACCTGCTTTTAGCGGACACCCTGTATAATAAATTATTGATAATGATAAATAATATCTGATATGAATGTGTGGTCTAAACAGTCCCTGTCAATAAATATTGTTTATTATTTATATTCAGCCATGTGTGTTTGCATAACACTGACTTTACCTGAATATGTTACTTTCTAAAACAAGAAGTGCGGCAGACATTTAATTAGGTAACCATTCGTAACATTATTTTATTCCATCTCCTGTTCTTTATGGGAATCTCAATTGCAACATTGAATACGATGTTGAAAAAATTCCACCACGTCTGACACTGAATGTTTTGTGTTGTGTGCCAAAGAATGAATTAGGCGTTTCAGTGCCGACCTTCGATTTGTCCAAGAATAACAATACTACCGGAGAGAAAAGAAAAAATAATTGATTTAGAACCTATGATAACATACCGATGTGAATAGTGTTTGTGTGTTTTATTATTGTTGAGAGAGAAGATAACCGTAAAACGAGGTTCGTATATTATTTTTTCGTCGAACTACGAAAAATCACATTTTGTGTTCTAATTTCCTAACGAAAAACCGACTATTACGGAACCGACTATTTTGACACTTACATATTTATAATTATAATTACCTATATTGATATTAATCTTTGGATAATCACAAAATCACATACACTTATAAATTGCATGATATTTCGGCACGCTCTGTTTGAATTAATTTGACAGTAATAACTGTTTATATATGGGTACTTATGATATGTATGAACCAATGAAGGACAATACTTTATCTGATTCTGATCAAATTCAATTTTTTATATACCTCTGTTATAACAGTTTGTTTCTCATGTTCAATTTTTTTAAATTTGTTTTGTATTTTTCTCGTTCATTTTTACTATTTGTTCCGGTTTTTTATATACTCAAATCTTACAAGTACGTATCTGACTGTATATTATGATATTTGTGAGTATTTTTGAATCGAGAATTAGGAATATGATTATTTTTGTATGAGAATGTTTGTTTCGTTGGTTTCTATCTTGCTTGAAATATGTTACTTCTGTTTACCAAAAGTACATAATGTTTTAGGTTTATTTCATTATCCTTTCTTGGGATTCCTATAGCATAAAATAGATCTTAAACAGATCTAATGAAATCTACTGAATTTTTGACAAGGTATTTACTTATGGAATAAAAATCAAACTGGCAACCCTGGTCCGGGCGGAGAGGGAGTTGACAATAACTGTCATTTTTTGCTGTT